TCAAAATTGCAACAGTGGGTATATAAGAAGAATAAAATGTTGCATATAAATTTAAAGGAAAGATTTAATTTAATGTTAATATATTTTTTTTATAAAGATTTAGAGATTAATCTCAGAATCGCGAATGTCTTATGTTAAAGTTTATGTTAAAGTAAAACCTGTTTCCAAATTCAAACTCTGAAATTTGTCTCTGTTAAATACAGAAATTTTTTATTTGAATATTAATTTATTTTTTTATGTATATTATTAAATTTCATTTTCTTTAAAAGAATTTTTAGTGAAAAAATAAAATAGTGATATATAAAATGTTGTAGTTTGAATAATTTTACGAGTTTAAGATTACGGATGAAAAAAAGTTGTTCTTTAAAGTCAATTTGGATATATTAATGCAGATTGTGAGTTTTACTTCGTGTAAAAGTTTACGAAGCGATCCGTGAAAATTACGCAACACGCGCCATAATTGTAGTATAAATATTAGAATCATAAGACGGTTGACGACACCGAGGTTCTCTCAGTGAAATTGAGACTAATGAGACAAAGAGTAGCGCTGGATCTAACCGGTACGCACTGGAAAATGACGGAACTCGGGCAGATGACGTTAGTTTCGAAGAAGCGATAACAATGATTGCGTGACAGAAAATGACTAAAGAATACACTGGATACTTGAGAAAGAATGCATTACGCACAAAAAAAATTTATTGATTGATCCGTGATCTTATCAATCTCAATTTTATTTATTTACCATTAGTTTCTGACAGGATCTTTACTACCAGGGTGTGGCCTAATCTTTTACTATACACCCACGTAATGATTTTGCAAATTTTTCTCAATTATTGTAGATCACAGATATGTCTAGAGAATAGTCACAGCATACAATACGTCATAATCTAAAGATATCTGAAATATGATTGAAACTCCCACGCTCACGTGGAAACTCGTGCAAAAGAGAAATGTCATAAAGTCAGTCGAATCATAAGTCAGTCGAAGAACACCGAATTTTTCAGATATTAAAAAAATATTGAATCTCTTTAATCTCAATTGTGTTTCTTCAAAAATAAATCTAGATACTCCACTTCGAAATATTCCATCCTTCATACTTACGAATGCTAAAGTATCGCAAAGCTACCAATAATTGATTTAACATCGCTACGCAACTCGCGCAATATTGATAAATTTCAGCCAATCGAATCGAGCACGCGGGGGGTCCCGAGGGGGTGTGCCCTAGCGTGGAAGACGGCAATGGGACTCAGGGTCCCCACTGCTGAAGATTGATCAATTTATGGTGGTGCTCGGTCAACGAGGCGCCACGGCATTTAGCGGTTAACGCGTGCAACGATAGAAAGAGAGAGAGGGAAAATGAGACGAGAGACGGCACGAGGAGGAAACCAGAGACGCCACTCAACAGCATTATTCGAACTGATGCGGTGAATTGGCGCTGACGACATCGCACAGAGCCAATCCGACGGTTTGTTTATTGAGCGAGCGTTGGCGGATTCCTCGCGGTCTCTTTAATTGAGCCCTCGTCGATCGAGGCCGATACGAGTACGCGGCTGATCGCGCTCGGATTTCGTCGATTAGCATTATTGCGACGTAGAGAAAGAGAAAAAGAAGAGTCTCCCTTCTTCTCGATTAACATTTATCCTCCAAGCGTGAAGACGCTGAAGGAAAATTTCATCACATTATTCTCTTACTAATAATTTTTTATTGCATATTTTAATTTTCTTCTAATCTTGCTATCAATTTATATTTCGCACGATGATAAAATGATTTAATTATCCTAAATAACAAGGAGTAGTTCTGGTAGAGTGAACATTGAATCGCGCATGAGACTTCATCAAAGTTAATCGGCGTTGATACATGTCAATGCTATTCAGACTTACATCATAATAATTGCCTGGCGGCTTAGATTATTAGTCCACTTCTACATCCAAAAAAAAGTATGTCGTATAAAAATTGTTTTATGAATTCTTTTTATGGAGCAATCTTGTCGTAGAGGAAATTATAATTATCGATTTATCGTCTGAAGTTACATCTAACAATTCCTCGGTAGTGTTCACTAGAAATTAAACGTTGATTGTCGATATAAATATTCTCGATGCAACGTATAGACACAAGAATAGACATAAAACATAGACAAAAAACTATCGCCCGACAATTATAATAATAGCTAAGTTAATTTTCACTCGGAAAACAATTCACGCATATTTATGTAGTTTTTAGCACAGCTGTATTGTTCTTTGAAAAACGCAGGCTGCAGAAATCTATTAAGATCTTATAAGATATAGATTCCCTGAAGCGTTCGGCAATGATATGCAAACAAGCGTGTCGCAAGTACAAATAGCAATATGAACGAATACATTTAGATTTAACGTACGTTAATATAAGATATGCATATTTATTAAACAAATCATTTTTTATCGATTAAATTATAAATTTTTTTATATAAATGTAATATTAATTAATCCTATTTTTAATTATAAATGTAACATCTTCATAAGCGTTGTTATAATTTGTTTATCAAATAAATCCTATTTTCTAATTTGCTTGTTTAATGTCAATTTATGACAGATTATAATGCAAAAAAAATTTGAAATTAGTTAACAATTAAAAATAAATTATTTCTTAAGTCTGTTATCATGACTTATAACACAGAAATAAATAAATAACGTATTCCGTAGTCTTTGATGTGTCTGTGTATTTATCTGCTCCAATAATTGGGAAACACATTGCAGTTTTCGTGTTGTCCACAGACGGTTTTCGTGTTGTCACCGCTTTTCGCTTGGAAATGCAAATCGCGTTATTTCCCCGCGTACGCGTAATAGCCCATTATGCGCACATGGCTTCCACCACAAAGGAATCTGGCATCTGCAATGCGTTTAGGCACGCGCCGCGTGCTACGATGGTAGCATCACGAGGAATGATGAATCCCGTTCGAGAGTCCCGCAAAAAGAGTCACCGACCCTCGATACGTACGCTCGCTTTTCGATTGTCGACCATCCCCGTCGATTTATGCGCGCGGACAGCTACCCCGATTTCTCACATGTGCATGTCGCGTTTCCCGATAGTGCGATTTGTCCCGGTCCACTGCGACACGCAACTCTCGTTTCATGAAAAAATATAATAATGCCAACTTGCCTTCATATACACGTGACGAGTAATGTGTAAGGAGATGACGAGCATCTGGATGTGATAATGACTAACCAAAGTAATTTATAATTCCATTTAGAGAGACGTAAAAAAAACACTGTGAAACAAATTATCTTTTCTTCCGAGTTATTTTCAATGAAAACAAGTTTTTTTTTTTGTAAAAAATGGAAAAATATAATAACGAAGAAGATGACGAGATCAATTAGTTAATGTTACGTTTGTGATATATTTTCCAATAATGGAAATATATTTTTTGTAATTATTAATGTCTAACAAATTAATTATTTACACGAATAAAGAATATCTATATCTATATCTATATCTATATCTATATCTATATCTATATCTATATCTATCTATATCTATATCTGCAAGCCAGTTAAACTAGTTTATTTTATTTAAATAAAATTTAACAATAAGATAAGTATAGCCGATATATTTAAGCAAATCAACGCACCATTTCTCTTTCTCCGCGTGAACAAGAGGCTAGATTTTCCGCAAAACAATGGTGCGGTTTTACGGGTAAACCGTAGTGAGCAGATGGCCCACGTGATTAGTCTGACATTTGCACTGGCAGTGTCTCCGGTTAGCACGTGCATTCCAACAATTTCACTCTTGTCTACCCGGAGGTTTTAGTCTTCGGTGCAATCCGACGAAAACTTTAATTCTCGCGTTGAAATGAAGAGTCACTTTAGCACCAAATTAACCAACAATTATTCAAATCGTTTCTCGCGCAATAAATTAGAAATAACTGTAATCTATACGTTTGATACGTTTGTTAATTCGCCTCAGATTAAACTAAATTAATTAGATTAAATTAATTAATATTCGCGCTAACAAATGCTGAAAAAACTCGATCCTTCCGAAATTTATAAAATTAAATGAATAATCAATTTTCACTGCGCAGGTAATTTCGACGTAACAGATTAAAATACTATTCTATCTTCGAATGTTCTCACGCGAACATTTTTGTAAGTCCGATTCCGGCAAGTCGATCATTTGTCCATCATTGTTTGGGCATTTAATTTTTTTCTTTTCCCTTCCTCCTTTCTAGTCGCGATCGTCGATCTATTCGAAAGAGGAACTCTCCGGCTCGCTAATCATGGTTAATGAGCAAAACAATAATTAACTTGATAATAAAGCATAGGTGCTTCCTTCATATATGTAGATTAAACGGCAACAGTTATCGCCTTCCGCGCGCATCGAGAGATAACGAGAGGAACGTTCGGAGCGGAAAAACTGAGATTTTCTACCATCGGCTACCGTTCTATTCGAACACGAGCAAGAGATTAGGGTCAAGGCACAAAGAAACGAGCTTCTTACGACATATATTTCAAGAAACTTTGATATTAGTCATGAATATAAAATAATTTTATTCCATGAGTTTAAATAATTTTTCACACGCATGATCGATTCTTTACCAATCGTACTTTTTTCCATAACAGAAACTAATATCTGTTTCTAGCTTGCCTAATTACAACACATTAAAATTTAGCAATAATCATACATAAGAATAATAAAATATATGTAGAAAAGAAATTTTGTAATGTAGCAATAATCTTTATTGACTGAAAATTAATTATGTAAAACATTACATCAACGATTCTTGGCAACAAATCAATAATCGTCTATTCATCCAGATTAAAAAATATAATTTGATGAGTAGATAATTATGCAACTTTTGCATACTCAATTTTTAGTCAATAATTACATAAAGATTATTGTTATAATAAATAAAACTTCTTTTCTACATATCTTTTATCATTTTTATACATACATGATATTAAAAAACATAATACATTATTCTTAATTCTGTCTAAAAATTTTCTTCCGTTTTTTTTTTTTTGTTACAGACGCCTGCGGTCTCTCAGACGTAGGGCACATCGAATCTCTCCAGGAAAAATCGCAGTGCGCCCTGGAGGAATATTGTCGGACCCAATATCCGAATCAGCCGACGAGGTTCGGCAAGCTGCTGCTGCGACTACCGTCGTTGCGTACGGTGTCGTCGCAGGTGATCGAGCAGCTCTTCTTCGTGCGGTTAGTAGGCAAGACGCCGATCGAGACGCTCATCAGGGACATGCTGCTGAGCGGCAACAGCTTCAACTGGCCGTACATATCCACGATGTGACACTCTGTCTGGCGGCAGCTAGCTTCCGCATAATATTACACCTCGAACAGCGGTGTCGCGGCGCCCGACGATGACCCGCGGGCTCGATTCGCATACGGATAGAGAAGAGTCGAGCGTGGCGACTCCAGGATGGACGACACCGCGAATCCCGAATATGCTCGACACGACGCAAAGAACGACGGAACAGCGAGGGAACCCTGTCTTGCTTTTGTCGCTCGAAGTCGCCCGAGAATCGACGCGTCATTCTCGTCGATCGTCGTCGTTGACTCGATTATGTATCCGCGTTGCTTCGTTTCAACCGCGTGACGCGTTAAAGATATTTCTCTATTGATGACTTGTACTCGCGCTTTGCTGGACCGATACGATACTCACGGATTAAAATTTCAGTCAAAACTTAAGGATTTTACTCGTACTCGACAAGTTAACAAGAGGACGCGCGTCGGGGACGGAAGCGAAGGATTACGGATGAAATAGCGAGATTGAGGAGAATTGAGCGAGATCATTAACGGAGTTCAGTCGAGGGTGATAGGATAATGCGCGTGAAGCGGCGAGAAAGGTGGGCGTGCGATGAGGAGAGGATTGTCTTGTTCGTTGGAGAAGAGGAATTTTCGGTGACGTGCGAGGAAAGAGAGAGAAAGAGAAAGAAAGACGGGGGAGAAAAATATTTAATAAAGACGTTGCTCATTCAGAGAATCGCGGAGGCGCCGAGTGGCCCGACAGCGCCCAGGAACATCTACTGGGCGTTAAAACTTGGTACTCACTAAAGTGGTCGAGCCGAAAGAGAGGGAGGGATTTTATGCATACAAGGAGCTCGTCAGTTATTTCATGCGTATGTATGTGTGTGCGTCGGTGAAAGAGCGAGGGAAAGCGAGTGAACAAGAATGAATGAGACGGAAAAAGAGAGAGAAAAAGAAAGAGAGATTGAAAGAGATATAGGAGGTTTGAGGGAGGAGGGATAGATAGATAGATAAGCGTTTTGTTATATGATAAAGGATGAAATAAAGAGTGAGAGGGGTGGAAGCGAGAGGGAGGACGAGCGTGGCGTGAAGAAGTCATAAATTAGCATTTATAATCAACGATGAGAGAGAGGGGAGGGAGAGAGAGAGCTGGTGGATCTCCCATCGCTATCTCGAATCAATCTTCGCGTCGAGTACTCACTATTAGTCGAGTCATGCCATGGGCCTTAGTCATTCGTCTTGACGCCTCCTCTACGAGGCTGCGTTCTCCAAGTTCATAGCCCGTGAAACATTCTTTCGGAAATATCCCTTTCGGTCGGACGACGCTCGCGTCTGCACGCACACCATAGATCTAAATTCCACAACGTCGCTTTCGTCGAACTTGTTCGTGATTTTCGAGGATTATCAAACGGTAAGTCGCGATTTCATCTTGGTTATTTTTATATAGCTATGCGATCGAATATCCTGATTCTTCGAGGACTCTTCTAGAATGTAGGATCCTCTCCTTAGAACCTCAGATGCGATTTCAATCATTGTCTTATAATAAAATAATTTGTAAACTGTTTGCGTAAATTTTTCTTTCCTTCGGATAAGTGTAAAATGTGCTAAGTTTATTGAATCGGAAATTATCATCTTTTTCGCGAAAAGTACTTTTGCATAAACTTATTAAATTTCTACATAATTTTAATAGTTTATAAAAAAATGCACCATGATGCTATACCTGAAACCTATTTAATATTAAAAAAAAAATCATTATTAATAAATAGCGGAAATTTTTTAAGTAACATGTTTTACTTATTATATGTGAAAATAATTGTAAACTAATTTTAACAATCTTTACGCATTTTAATTTTTATTTTTCTCACGATTTTCTTAGCTGTGCATTTTGTGAAACGATTCGACTACTTTTGTTATTGCTTTAAGTTATTTACTATACTCTCTCAGAGTCGCTCGAACGATTCGTCAAATCCGTTTTATATTTGATTGTTTTATTTTTAAAGGTAAAGGCCACGATACGTGATGTTATTGAAAAGTTCTATTTAAAAATAAATATATTGTACAAATTTTTATGTATAGTACTTAGATAAAAGCGAAGAGAGTCGAGCATCATCGGCACACCCGGTAATTTAATGCGAGTCGACTTTATCGATATAAAAAGAAACTGTTTGTTGTAAGTAGGATGTAAAGTGCAAAACACGTTGCATTTTACGGCGTGAAATCACGAAGGAAGCAACGAAATAAATCAGTTTCCTTCCGCGTTCGCGCGATCGTAATAGCGGCGTTTGTGCGAATAGCGTTCAATGCGATTGCATTTACTTGTGTTGTACTAGAATAATGACGGCGATTTCAACGTCTCGTCTAATCGCGACGATGATCGTCCTCGAGGAGAACCTCGAGGAAGAGAAAACAGCGAGCGACGGCGAAACTTCATATGTGACGTTCAACTTGGATGACAATACCGCGCGATATCATATATACAACCAATATTATGTATCTTGTAAATACTGATATTTTTACCTTGGGTTACTTAAAAGCGTACGTGACGAGACCACTCGAGAGTGCGAGGCAACGTCTTCTTTGTATGCTAGTGCCATTGCGCGTCACATCATCGCATCACGATTAATCCCGCGGCAATCCCGCGGGACCGGTTGACCGATCGATCGATCGATCGATAGAATACTCGGGACACAGTTGATTCGAGACGGTAATTCCGAGACGAGAGTCCAGAGGAAATACGCTGCGGTAAGGTAAGTCGTTATCTTGTTGCACTGACAAAGAAACCTTATGAATTCGGAAATTCTGATTTTGATGGATCATTTCACGTAGCTGGGATAAATAAATGAGCATAGGATTTCTCGGTTAATGCAAAAAGATAAATTCAAAGGCTTTTTAATTTTGCTTTACACTAAAACTGTCACAAGATTTATAAGCAATTTATATGACATATGGAAACTACAACTACTTTGATGTAGCTTCTTATTTTCAGTGCAATTCTTATTTTCAGTGCTATAAATATTTTTTTACAGAGTAATAAGCTTTAAAAATAATTTCTCTTTCAGGTGTAATGAAATAAAGATGTATTATTGCAAATCTTTTGTACGAAACAATTAAGAATTTCTAAATTTCTATCTATTCCATTTAAGCATATGCAAAATTAAAATCAGAATGTCCGAGTTGGCAAGGTTCTTTTATGAAAGATGCTTAAATAAAATGTACTTGCGATTGCGGGCGAAATGCGCCAAAATTTTGTTGTTAGTTCTCGCAAAAATACATTTTATGTTATTGAATACCGTTTCTGATTGTCAGTGTGGCTAGAAATCTTGACGGGATAACTTCGATGATTTGTCAAATTGTATGAACAATTTGACTCGTTACATCCTGTACAATGTATTAAATGCAAATATTCATTGAAGGAATACAATGGAAATGTCACGGCATTTATAACGATTAGATAATTAAGAATTTCTCGATAATGTAAATTATTGAAAATTATAGATATGTCAATTTTATTTCATACTTTATTATTAATTATTTATTTTATTAAATTATACGTTATTAATTATTCTTATAATTAATATAATTTTATGAGATTCTTTGATAAATCTACTGAAGTTTATGAATTTTGTGTTTGAAAACAAGGTTTAATGTAATGTGATTAATGTTAGTCATTTCTTAAAATTTTGTCAAAGATATTTTGTGAAACATATTGTTCTATTTAACAAAATGATATTTTGTGAAACATATTGTTCTATTTAACAAAATGGATAATACGAAACAAGAGAAGCAAGAAGCAAAGAAGCGATTCCGAAATTCTTTACTTATTTTTTAAAAAGTATCTCAATTTAGGATGTAACGGGTCAAAATTGAGACACACTACGCCACGAGATATATCGAAATATATTTTTGATTAAAATATGAAGAATATTACATGTTGTTCTCCGGACAGATAAAGATACAGTAATTATGAATTGAACATGCGTGAAATGAGGACAATGCGGCGAGATGTACATCTTTATTTCAATGGTATGCACATGTGTGTGTGTGCGCGCGCGCGCGCGTGTGTGTGTGTGTGTGTGTGTGTTGTTTAGTAGG